AGTCCCAAACTAGACTGACGAAACAGCTGTCCAGTACTCCCTGCAGCTGGTTTTCCAATGGTTCTCCGACCGATGTCTGCTCATTATGAAAATGAATCGTATAAAACGAAATTTTCTTCGCTGTTTTCATCTTTTTCTTGCAACAATTATTTCACTCACATACTGTAGTATCTTCACCATCGCATGATTATAGCTGACGGGATAGAAGCTATTATGTTTAAGGCTTTAGCTAGTGGAAGTTTATTTTATTCGTAGGTAGACTTTTCGATCGCACAGTCATTTCTTCTTCCCTCTAGACTCCTTGGTTTCTATCTCGCAATGCCTGAAAAATTGATGGTGACTTAATCAATAAATTGTGGTTATCATAGATATTATTTTGTTTGTATATTGTTACCGAAGGGTCCCGAGTGGAACACAGGGCTTTGACGTCACATCTCGACTTTTTCGTATTCTCTGTGGCTGTCTTTGGTTAGCCCTACGATTGCCTAGAATCTCCCATTTCCTTCTAGCAAGATCTCCTTCATCTCATCCATGAAGAGACGCCCAACTCATCGTTCTCCAATCAGGTTCCATTCGAGCACTGACCTGGCGTGCGATATTTACATTTTGAATTCCTAAATTGATGACATTTTTTCTGATATTATTCAAGCTTTGAAATATGTTTATAGCCATTGTAATTTGAGGTAATCTGTACAGCTGATGAGAACCTGTGGAATAAAGTGATAATATCATTTTATACTGTATATCGAATCAGTTATAGAGCTACTAAAAGCCAGAGAGTGCTTGACCGTTATTTCATCCTAATTCGAAATTATTCACCACTATCCACCTATGAACCCGTTGGGAATCGAATCTAGGACCTTCATGTTAGATATAATGCCAGTCTGCTGACTACTCCAATAGCTTGTGAACTCTGGTTTTTGCTAATTCTTGATGTACAGCGGCAGTCGGTATCATCATCGAGTGACTGTCCTCATACTAGACTTGATGAACCCAACTGTGCAATAAATTATACTCGAAATGTTATCCAATTTATGAAACTGTATTGCTCACTGCATTTTAAACTTAAAAAGCATATCTAATATGAAATTGTAGCCTACTACGGTGACCGAATTCAACTAATGTTAATCGAGCCAGCGAATAGCAGTTTCATGAAATGGAGCCATGTATTATTTTGTTTTTAGTTACTTCTGGTATTTTTAGGATCTAAATGCATCCCAAAGAAAAATTTTGATTACACGATTTTATCATGAGCTGATATCAGTTAGAGAAGCATTGGAAAACCAGCCACAGGAAGTACTTGGCAGTCAACTGTTTCGTCCCAGTTTGGGGCCTGAAGCAGAAGATTTCCAAACTTGTTTCAGGTTGATGAGCGCATATCTTGTGTTCCCGTGGTATCCGCCTGTGGTTGAAACCGTACTTCCTTGCTGGATAAGTGAAGGAAGTTACTGACCTCTGTCAAATCTTTCCCGTTGATGGTGATCCTTGCTGGTTGTAGTTGCTGTTGCTGTTGGTTAGTTGGTTATCTTCATCACCTCTGTCAGTCCTATGCTCATCTGTAGTCTTGTCTTCGCTGCTTGCCTCAGCTCTTCAACCAGTTTTTTTGGGTTTTTTTCTGCAAGTCTTCGGAGTTTGTATGACATGAGACATACATTTTCTGCTAAATCCATATCTTCTAGAGTCTACTTTATCCGGTTGTCCAACGTATTGCTGTCTTCTCACTCTGTGTGGACAGTCTTCCGCATATCATCGAGTGATAATAGGCATTGGAAACCAAATCGGAGATAAACAATTGACTACTGACTACAAATAAGTAGTATTATAGCAGTGTTCCGACAATTATACATCTCATCCAACAGCTGTACGACAATGCTGCATGCCGAGTAATCCACAACGGGAAACTTACGGAATCCTTCGAAGTGAGGACAGGAGTAAGACAAGCTGGCTGCCTACTATCACCAATAATTTTCCTGATTGCAGTAGACTGGATAATGCGACAAATAGCGGGGAATGAGGAAACAGGCATAAAATGGACTCACACAAAGAACTTGGAGGATCTGGACTTCGCCGATGATATATGTCTGATTTCCCGCAAACTGGAAGATATACAAGCGAAAAGCAACAAGTTGGCAGAAGAAACATCAAAGATAGAACTTCAGGTGAACATAGATAAAACAGAGGTGATGAAAATTCCTGGGAAACACCACCAACAGCAACAACAACGGACAACAATCAGCATAAATTGGAGAAATCTGACAGAAACAACCTCCTTCACCTACCTACCTGGGAAGCATCGTTTCAACTACAGGCCAACGGAACTGACGAGGATATCAAAGCAACAATCGGAAAAGCAAGACAAGCTTTCAGTACTCTCAAGTCTGTGTGGAGGTCAACAACACTCACCATCAAAAATAAGATCTGGATTTTCAACTCTAATGTGAAGTCAGTGCTACTCTACACGGATCAGAGACTTGGCGCGTCATAAAGAGCATCTCAAACAAACTACAAACCTTCATTACCAGTTGTCTTCGCTCAATACTCAAGATCAGATGGCCAGCGAGAAAAGATCAGCAACAGAGATCTCTGGCAATGAGCGAACCAACCAGGAACGGATTGTGAAACAAATAGGCAGGAAGAAATGGAGATGGATTGGCTGGCCATACTCTGAGGAAACCATCAAGTGACATCACTAGACAAGCCATTGCTCGAGTGGAACCCGAAAGGGAAGAAGCGAGTTGGTCGTCATCGTAAGGGTAACTTGGAGGAGGTCATGTGAAGAGGAGATGAAAACGTGTGAGCAGACATGGAGCCAGGTGAAAACTCTAGCAGAGAACAGAACGCAATGGAGACGCACGGCTGAAGCCCTATGTTCCTGCAGGAATTAAAGGATACAATAATAATAATAATAATAGCAGTGTTCTATGTGCGTCGTTAGTTCACTGGCAGAAAGACGTCCATGGTTCGATTCTCCGGCAACACACTGTCTAGAAAATTTGAAAGGTCAAGCGTGAGGCTTGCAAACCCCTCAGCGGCGTTTATTATAAGGAACGCGAAAGAATAGAAAAATAAAAAAACACTCGTGTATTATTTTTTATATCAGTAGTATGAATGATTTCAGTAGCTGTATTGTTTTAATAATATCTCTAGGGCCAAAAAAACACAACAAAGAAAATGAAACAAAAGAGTACACAAAGATTACACGTTAAGAATTTATGAAAAAAAATTAAGAAAATGTGGGGAAAATTATTTGCGACCGACACACACTCGCACACACGTATATAAGGAGAAACAATGATACTATTCATAGTGTAGAAAATAATCGATAAAATCCCAGAAAAAGAGGAACACAAGACTTCCAAAAACGAAAACAAGGTTGACGTTTTCTTTCAATATGTATTATATCACAAATTTATCAGTTCAATCTGTGTAATATGTGTAAGTAAGTAAGTAAGTAAGAACAGCAGTTGAAGAAGTAAAGGCGCGAGCGAGAATATTGCAGCTATAGGTTTTGTTGCCATGGTAACAAAGAAGGAGAAGAAGAGGAGGAAGAGGAAGAAGGCATCTTCAATTAATTATTGCCTCAAAGGTTATTGCGCCTACACATCCACACACACTCACACATGCATACACACAAACCTCCAGATGCACAATACAAGCCTGAATGCTTCAACTGTAGGGTGAAGATTTAAAGTCATGACTTTACTTTGTTTTTTGCGGTTTTATCAGTTAAACATGAAGGAGAAGAAGAGGGCAGAGGTGGAGGAGGAGGCACGAACTCACGCATGCACGCACATACACACGCACACTCACAAGGAAAGAGAACAAGAAACACACACACGAGAGAGAGAGAGACGGAGAAAAAACGCACAATTGGTTATGAATGAAAAGATGGCGTAATTAAATACTATTGCATAACAAAAGTCTTTAGGCATGATCTATATATATATATATGTATATATTTATATGCGCATATGTCCAATGGGAGTAGTGTTCTATGATCACGATGCTGCTGATGCTGATGATGTAATAAATCGCGGGGGGGTGGGGAGGTATAATAGTAATATTTTACAAATACAGTAACCAGGTTATACAAACTCTCTCTCTATAAATATAGGCATTCATTCAATCTTGTTTAAATCTTAACCAACTGTGCTACTCAATAAATTTATATATGCTTAAACAGTTGAATATTGAATAAAAAGTATGGAAAAAATACAGAAAAGTGAGAGATGGAGGGGGGGGGGTATAAATGATGGAAGAATTATTAACGTCATGGTTAGTTAATCAGTTAGTTGGTTGGTTAGTTAGTTTATGTGTTGTATATATATGTGTGAATACGTGCCAGAGCACCGGTGATAAACAAAGTAAAATATTGAGCGTCTATATAGTTTAGTTATGCGTGTATATGTTCATTATGGTTATTGAAACAATGTAATAGGCGGGAAAATAGGATGATGCCTCGTTGGATGATGTGAGCAATTTGGAAAAAGTCAATATGTCAGTGTCAAACAGTGGTGAAATGAGAGGAAGGGAGGCTGGCGCTGGGGGGTTAGCGAAAGGGGGAAAAACAGGGACAAAATAGGTTTCATTTCAATACATTTTTCTTAAAGATTTTATTGACATTTCCTCACTGTCAGATATTGTTAGATCTCATTTATTTAGTTTAATAGAGACGGGGTTTAATATAAGCTAGAAAACTGGGTATTTATCACAGTGTAAATGAAATATTGGACATTTCTTCTTCCTAAGATGGGAAAAAAAGCGGCAAGAGATCTTTTTTAAAGGTTATGACAGTTGAGATGGATGGATAGATAGATAGATGTATAGATATTTATTTAATCAGCGTTCGAGAATCTTCATCTTACACCTAATCAATTATTATTCTTTAATCAATAGTTCAATGTTCAACATATGTATCTTTTTGTTTGAATGAGTGAATATAATTTGAATTTCGCCACCCGCCCGCGCTATTTCTTCCCTCTCTTTCTCTAGCCCACTTCTCAATATAAAGGAGTTGGTTGTAAATCCCATAGAACTTCATCGAACGAGTCATGACGATCTGTTAACAGTTGACCTTCTGATTTCTGTCGGGTAAGATGATATTTGAATGAATCGGACAAAGTGCTCATCATCATCAACTTCATCATACCGTTAGGTGAAGCGAAATTACCACGTGTAGAAGTGATGTTAGATGTTGGCAGTGGCGGAGGCATCGGTATCGGCGGTGACGATGATGAAGGCTGATTCTCGCCATGACGTAAACGATGACTATTCTGTGGGACTGGTTGTCTTATACCGGCTGATTTTCTTACTGAATCTTCACAGAAGGTGAGAAATACATCTGGATCACTGGGTGAACGATAACCAAGTTGACTGAGTTGACTGGGATTGGTCAGAGAGTGATGATTAGTATTGGGAATATTTAATGCAGCAGACATATTTGAATTGTATAATTTTCGATTGAAAGCTAAAATAAATTAGCAGGAAATGAAAAAAATAACAAAGATTTAATGACATTAAAATAATTTGGATTTCAAGTGTTGGTTTGTAGGGATTTGATTGGTTACAGGATTTCATCATGAGCTGACATTGGTTAGAGAACCATTGGAAAACTAGCAACGGATTACTGGACAGATAGTTGTTTCATCAGCCTAGTTTGGGACTCTTCAACAGTACGCACCCACCGGGGTTCGAGCCCAGGACCTTCTGGTGTCAAGGCGAGCTCGTAGACCATTAAGCCACTGAGACCCAATCCAAGCCGGTCCATGAATTCTAACTTCTGCCAATTCACGACATAGCGCGACCACTAGCCAGTGTTCTCGGAGAGTATTTGTCCTCACAACCGACCTGCTGCAACCTACTGGCGACTTTCTCTATTCAGGTAGGTAGTTACCTGGGGTTCTAGTGAGAAGTCATGACCAGTAGCGTAAAGCAGGTTGGGTATGAGGACAAATAATCGCCGAAGACATTGGCTAGTGCCAGTCGCGCTATGTCGTGAATTGGCAGAAGTTAGAATTCATGGACTGGCCATTGAATCGGGTCTCAGTGGCTTAATGGTCTACGAGCTCGCCTTGTAACCAGAAGGTACTGGGTTCAAACCCTAGTGAGTGCGTACTGATGAAGAGTCCTAAACTAAGATGAAACAGCTGTCCAGTTCTCCGTTGCTGGTTTTCCAATGGTTCTCTAACCAATGTCAGCTCATGATGAAATCCTGTAACTTGTATTCGCTTGTAATTAAAACGAAAAGATACTGGTAAGATAGGTCAAGCATCATAATATTTTGAGGCAGAATGACTACGAATTGTTTTTTTACCGCATGGTGAAGTTTAAGTATCATGACCAGTCAGATCTAGGGAACTATACGAAAGGTTATTTCAGATCAAATCATGCCTCCCTTTTCGGATTTGCCAAGGGTAGATACAGTATTCTGATCACTTGATGATATTAGATGGTCGGAGGCAATCGTCAGGAAGTCTTACTTGACGTAGGTTTCGTGCTAGTTGGCACTCGTCAGCAAGGCGTATCTGCAGCCTACAATGGTGGTCACGTTGCTAACCTGACTGATAGAATTCAGTCTGCATCAAAGAAAGGACCAAACACGTCACACTAGTTACTACTGTCCAATCAAACTATTCTGATCATTCTCCATATACCTTCTCCCCAAATCTATACTGTAAGGTGGGTGTGTTTCTTTTTAGATTAGTGTTAAGGCTATTGGTTAAGATTAGAAATAAAGTTAAAGTTAGGATTAGGAGTTAGAGTTTAGAGTAGGTTAAGCGACAGTGTCAGAGATACCAGTCAACCTCAGAGTAGCATGATCCGCAGTCACGTGAATGAATGCATCTACCGCATATGCTACAATTTGTCTACAAATCATCTGTGTAATAAATGAAAGACATTCTAAGAACTCATAAACAACAATTATATGGTGTTGTACTATGTTTGCAATGTTTTTTGGTGCATTTTTCAAAATTTATGTGACCTTTGTGTCTGAAATCTGATTGGTTGCTAGAGGTTGCTGCGATTTTGGCTTTGATAGTTTAAGTTTGCCTTACGCATATTGCAAATATACACCATGTAACAGTCGAAGGTCATTGAGATGCGTTGGAGACCATTAAGAAACATTATGCCTCGGCGGCGGAGCGTTGGTGGCATAGCGACTAGGATGCTCGCCGACCATGGACATGGTCCGGGATTCGATCCCCGGACGACGTACTCCTTTACCTCGTTAAGCCAGAAATAATGCTGGTAAAGAGGAAACGTTGGGCATGAGGCTAGCAACCTCATCCTGTTAAAGTAAAACACTGCTACAGAAACTTCAAGCCACTAGCGTGAGGCCCTATGTTCCACTGGGAACGTGAAGGAAAAAAACGCTTTTGGGGCAGACGCTTGAGTTGAACCCGAACGGAAAACGACGATTCAGGTATGACTTCGCCGGTGACATGGAGGAGGTCGTATGAAGAAGAGATAAGAGCTTATAGACAATTGTGAAGCCAGAAAAAGGACAGTGCAGTCGAAGCTCCACGTTTCACTCGAAACCCAAGGGGATTATTACTAATAATAGTAATATAATGGCTCAGGCGAATTAGTACCACTTCGTATTGACTGCTTCAGCTGTCAGAGTCATCGATAGAGTATTACTATCATCAGAATATTACCACATACTCAAAGGACTGAGATACATGACACTTCTGTATGTTCTTTCGTTGAATGTGTCGTCAGATTCCACAATCCCCAAAATAGCTTATGATATAAAAAGGGCTGAAAATCAATTTGCATACTTAAGGCCACAAGAATTTAGAGGACATTTTGATAATGAAAATTCATAAAAATAGAAAATTCATGGATAATCCCCATCCAGGCATTAATGAAAACAAAACACGTAGATCAGCGAAGAATCTCTATTCGGTGGTGAATTCATTTTCTTAGCTGTACAATCGCAAATATATATGTGCTATTTTGTATGTATGTGTACATTAAGTTTGTCAAAACAAAAATACAGTTGGTTATGGTTATTTTAACTAGACAGGTGAAGATTGGTAACTATCCAGCGTGGTTGCGAAAAGCCAATAGTAGTGCAATAAGGAGTGCGATAATTGAACACACCTGGTTAACACTGATCATTCCATTTCAAACAACAAACGCCTCATGCTTCAAAGTAATCTACAGAGTCAAGAATAACCACCTACCGAAGGCAATACAGTTTCGTCTTCTTTGTGTCGCTGAAGCTCTGGCCATTCACATAAAAAACCGGAGTTGTGCATACAAAAGAGAATTACTCAACCAATTCTACTGTCACGGTAACAACTTTGTTGATTTTGATGACTTCATTTTGTTTCTTTGCCTGTTCTTTAATTGCTTGTAATTCTCGTATTCATTTAGAACTCTTATATAATTTCGTATTATCTACTTTGTTTCGATGTGCATCCTGAGTAAAACTCACTCATCAAACTATTCATATTATTACATAACTTCTTTTTTAACAACTGTTTGTGACAACTCATCACCTTTGTTACTACCCTAATTTCACGAACACCTAATTTTCTTGACTGATTTTGTGTTAAGTAATTCCAATTACCAATCTTCACCTGTTTAGTTAAAATAACCATAACCAAGTGTAATTTTGCTTGACAAACTTAATGTACACATACATACAAAATAGGACATGTATATTTGCGATTGTACAGCTAAGAAACTGAATTCGCCGCCTCCGAAAAGAGAGTCTTCGCTGATCTACGTGTTTTGTTTTTTCAAAAAAATAGAAAATCAAGAAGTTTATTTGACCGGTTTTTGACACGAAATGCTTCTCCCAATTAGTGAGTGATATAAAATGCCTTTGAGTTAAACATAACATTCATTATACAATGTGAACTGCTTTTAAAAGTGACACCCTTTTCGATAACGAAACGTTTGCCAGCTGAGATTCAGCATTGATGAGATACAGTAATTGAATCCTGATGACCTGAAGGGATAACAACAGTTCGGTATTTTCAAAAGAATGGACACGGAACAAAGAGTACTCTTTTCGATAACTTCATCATTAGGCTCTAAAGTTATGCGCATACATTATAGTGAATGAATGAATTAGTGTTATGAAGAACAACATTAATGTTGTTTAAATAACATCGAATCAACAATAATATCAATGGATTACAGTTCAGTAGCTTCAACATAAAATAAGCTGAATGTCAGAAAAATTAGGAAAGATAATAATACAAATTCATGAAATTATAGTCTCTACTGAAGGCGGTCCAGGGCAGTGGTAGTTACTGGCCGTTGTTCTAGGAACTTGATTTTTCGTGGTCGAGAACATCTCCCAGTATGGTTAGGTAAACGTGTAGTGAAAACCATTAACAGTTCGATATTGGACCATCTGGTGCAAACCGGCCAGTCACAAAGCCAGCCAGCGTGGAAGAATCCTTCTCTATCATCTACCGGGTGCCTAATAAATTGCCAAGATCATCATCGAAGCACCGCATGCTCCAAACAGCAGAGACTATCGCGACTCGTGTGAAACAACCAGTGCTCTGTGTGCAAAAGAAACAAGTCGAGCCAGCCACTACTACTGCCCTGGCCGGCCTTTAGCAGAGACTATAACTTCATGGATTTGTAATATTATCTTTCCTAATTTTTCTGACATTCAGCTTATTTAATTTTGATGATATCGAACTACAATCTTTTGATATTACTCGATGTTACTTAAACATTAATATTGTTCATAAGACTAATTCATTCAGTCACTATAATGTATACACATAACTGTAGAGCCTGATGAAGAGCAGGTTATCGAAAAGAGTATTCTTTGTTCAGTAACCATTCTTTTGAAAAAAAATTTTAATGGGCATTTTTAATCAGTTCGGTATTTCAAAAAAGGAAACAAACACATGAGTGAACAGTAAAATGCATAGAAAAGACACGTCAAAGTGCATGTCAAACAGCGAAATGAACTCGTGCTCACTTGGTAGATAAAGTGCAATATTTTAAGCAAAAAAAAGTAAATAAATAAATAATAATAGAGAAATGAATTCACTCAGTGAGAAGAAATCCATGGCCGACTAGACGTTTGATTGATGCAACTGGACAACCGACACAGCGTGTAGTTAGTTCTCAAATTGTGATATAGCATATGTGTATAATAATATAAATGTATAGTTGTAAGTAGGTGTTCAGTGGTTTTATTTTTGATAACATGGTGAAAGCAACCTTTTCACACACGCTTAGTAGAAACTTACCTCCGTATGCAATGCAATGTGAAAAGATGATGAAATAAGACTGGGAAATATTACTAAGAATAATGAAACGAATTAGCAGCGCATAAACTACTCATGACTACTCCTAGTACTACTAATACTACTAATGATAATAACAGTAATCATAATAGTAATAGTAATAGTAAAATCCTCATTTCTATGACGATAAACGATTGGTTGAATCAAAATACTGTATAATATAAACTTTAAATCAATCTCAATTTTGAATAACTCTCAATATTCATGAAAAATTCCTATTCGAACATTAATAGACAGAAGACCAGTAGTAGTTCAGCGAAGAGTCTCTGTTTTTGGCGGCGAATTCATTTTCATAACTGTACAATCGCAAATATATGTGGTATATATATGGTATATATATACAATTAGTAAGTTCAGATGAATTGGATGTAGATATAAGAGGGTAGATAGTAACAAAAGTGATGTCCTTAGGAGGAGAATATCCACTTCCTTAAGAAGGACTTTCTTTGCGCCAACATTTAGAGTAGTGTTCTCTAGTCGCCCACTGATCTGCAGAAGCCCAAAAGACAAGATCTCGCACCTGACCACTTCTATGTGTATATATCAGCTCACCTGTTGTTGTGGAGCCAGCCAGATACATCGGTCGTTCAATGCGCATCCTGTCAAAAAGGGTCAAAGAACACTATCGAGCGTGGTTGCAGAAAGGAAGTAATGGCTGCATAAGGAGTGCAATAATAGAACACCTCGTCAACACTGGTCATTCCATCTCAACAAACGCCTCCTGCTTCAAAGTAATCTACAAAGTGAAGAACAACCTACCAAAGACAGTACGATTCCGTCTTCTTTGCATCGCAGAAGCCCTAGCCATTAAGCTAGAGGAACCAGAACTATCCACACAAAAGAAAAATATTCAACCACTTCTACTCCCATGGTAACAAATGTGTTGATTTGACTTAACTCTTGTTTGTATGCTTATTTTTCTAACTACTTAAAACCCTTGTGTAATTCCGTATGTTATTTTGTTTCCATGTAAACCCTGAGCACAACTCTTTCATTAAACTAGTCATGTTAAATTACGTAACTCTTCTTTAACAATCGTTTGTGATAACTTATCACTTTTGTTACTACCCTCTTATATCAACACTTAATTCATCTGAACTTACTAATTGTATTTTCGTCTGACAAATTTAATGTACACATACACACATACAAAACAACCATATATATTTGTGATTGTACAGCTATGAAAATGAATTCGCCGCCGAAAAGAGACTTTTCGATAAACTATTTGTCTTCTATCTCAATATTATTTATGTATCGAAGTTTGTTACCTGTTCCATCTTCAATCTTTCTTCATTTCCTTTCCGTATGTTCTGGTGTTCTAAAAGAATGTTTCATCATCTCTTCAGCTCCTGTAACAATGGAGTCATTAGGCTGGTTGGTTAGTGAGTTAGTTAGTGAGTAACTTAACAATTAATTAACTTCTGTTATTTAATAATTAATATAAGATAGTTGGAGGCAGTGGGCAGGAAGCCTTATCTGAACTCAGTTTCGTGGTTGTTGACACTCATCAGTCATTTTGATCTGGTTGTGTTCTCTGGGCTGGGTAGTTAGTTTACGAAGCTTTCATTCCCCTCTACTACTATTGTGAGAGCTGGCTGCTAACCAAAGTTGGTGAACAGTAAGTGACGTCAATGTTTATGTCCCCAATATTGGTGGTGAGAAAATGAGAACAAAGGTTTTGCGTAGGCGGATAAAGTTAGCGTGTGGATGATCTGACACAGTCACAAGGAGATGCAAGGTTAACTTTCTGTGAGAAACAACTAATCAACAGACTGTATTTTCTACTAACAATAATCTACAATAATGTACATTAAAATCTATAAATATGTGTTGATTTTCTTTAATAAACGATCTGTTGCCTGGCCCTTGTCTTCTGTTGTTACGCTACTACTACGCGACATCTTCAGCGCATAATTCAATTTGAAGGAAGTGAGCTTTTAGATTTCTCCACGAGTTTATTAGTCGTCTCTCCTGGTGATACTTGCCTTGAACGTGATTGGTTATTTCCGTGTGTTTTCACATCCTTTAGGCTACCTGTGTATTGGAACTGATTGTTCCCTTGACTTGAACTTTTACCCTTCGTGTGTGTGTAGGAGATTTCCTTCTTATCAGTTGGTAAATTTTATCTTTGTCGATGTGTTTATTGATTGACGATTCACCAGGCTTCTAAAAATTCCCTGGCATTCTTGGTGTTTCCTCTGTCTAATATTTGAACGTTTTCCCAGTCAACTTGATGTCCGTGGTTGTCTGTATGCAGTGAGGCGATATGAAGGAGTGGATGTCGTGTCTTTTGAAGGCTAGTTTATGTTCACGGATACGAAGACGAAAATGAGGGACGTCCACTTTGGCCAATGTAATGTTTTTCGAAGTTGTTAGAGTAGTAGAACGGGGTCAGTCAGTCAGTCACAGTAGCGGAAAACACAAACCTAGTAAAATCTAGATTATTACTATTATCCTTTTATTCCCTTGGGTTTCGAGTGGAAAATAGGGCTTCAACAACGTATCTACACTTTCTTCTGTTCTCTGCTGTCCTATTCAGCAGGCTGACCCTAAGGTTGACTGTAATCTCTCATATCATCCTCCACACACGATCTCCTCCATGTCACCACTCGTTGCTTCCCATTTGGATTCCACTCGAGCAATGGTCTGCATTGTGTGCGATGTCATTCGATGACCTCCTGAAATGTATGCCCAGTCCATCCATCTCCATTTTTCCCACATATCTACTTGTTGAACAGTCGGCTCTCGTCTGTTGGTTTGTTCAGTCAGAGTTTCTTCTTACTAATTCTTTTTGACCATTTGATCTCCAGTATGGAACGCAAAAATGGCAGCTGCAATCTGTTGGAAATCCTTTTCGTGACACGCAGTGGAAGTTCCTGCCCTGTATAGTAGGACCGACTTGGCATTGGGTTTTGAAAATGCGAATCTTGTTCCTTACGCTGAGCACAGAAGATTTCCAAACTGGTTTCAGGGTGATGAAACCAATTTGGGAAATCTAGATTAGATGAGCCTAATATGATAAAAAATTCGGTAGAATAGTTCAGCTGTAGCACTCACTACATGCAATTACACACAACCGTGCAATAGGATGGGTGGGATCACATGACAGATTTAAAATATTATATAGCGGGTTAGAGGGAGTAGGATTGATAACGGAAGCTTTATTTATCAAATCAACTACGAATACGTGTAATAGAAAGGATTCAACACCTGTCCACTCGTGCATTTTGAAAATTCTACTACTCCTACTTTCGACGGCAAACAGGAGAGAACAAAGAAAACTATAGATATGATGGAGAAGATTTGTAGCTCAGGTGGATTATTTTGATGTGGCTGTGTTCTCTGAGCTGGATAGTTGATTTGCGAAGCTTTCATCACCCTACTAGGTGAAATCTTCAGCGCATACTTCAATTCAATGAAGTGAGCTTTCAGATTTCTCCACGAGTTTATTACTCATCTCTCCCAGGGACCTTAGACGTGATTGATTGTGTTTTGTGTGTTTTCACACCTTCTAGGCTACTTGTATTGGAACTAATTGTTTCTTTGACTTGAGCTTTGACCCTTTGTGTGTGAGGTTTCTTTCTTATCGGTTGATAAATTTTGTCTATCTCGATGTGTCTATTAATTGCTGATTCACTGGAATGCCAAGCTTCTAAAAATTCTCTAGCATTCTTGGTGTATCCTCTGTCTAATATTTGAACGTTGTCCCAGTCGAATTGATGTCCGCAGTTTTCTGTATGCAGTAAGTGATATGAGGGAGTGGATATCATATCTTTTGACGGCTAGCTTATGGTCGTGGATACGAAGACGAACGGGGCGTCCACTTTGGCCAATGTATTGTTTTTCACAGTTGTTACAATTTATCTTGTAGATGATGTTGGTTTTATCTTTTTTCACTGTTGAGTCTTTTGGTTGACATAGAACTAAGTGAAGTGATTTTGTTGGTTTGTGTTCGACGTCAATTCCTAAAGGTTTGAAGAGTGTTGCAGTGATTTCTGAGATATCCTCTTATATATGGTAGGACAATTTTCTTTGTGCTTTCTTTGGGGGCTTTTGGTTTGATAGGTTGGCTTGGGGTGATGAAAGTTTCGCGAATCAACTATCCAGCTCAGAGAACATAACCACATCAAAAAAAGAAAACTATAAAACTCAAGTTTCAATGTTATAATTATTATTAACAGTGATGAATTGTGTTCGGAACGTCATCTAGTAAATAATACTGTTTCACTGTGTGTGTGTGTGTGATATATATATCTAATAAACGAATTAATATGGAATTACAAACTACCACGACCACATTGCTCAAGTTTTACACATAAAGTAGTCTTCTGTCGATACAGTTACTCAGAAGTGGTTTCTAAGGATAGAAAAAGATGACATAACCACCGATGACAACAACACAGGTAAGTGAGAAGTACTGTTAGATCAGAAAGAGGCTGATCACATACCACCCACTTGACAAGTGTAAAGATGTTGAGAACGACACCTGATAAGTAAAGCGTACAGAAAGAAAATGCGAGAGTGATGACAGTGAATCATTTACTAAAATTAAAACCTAAGAGGTAGGCAAAGGTTTGGGATCATGGTACATCAAGTGACAGAAAAGGCTTGCTCAGTAATCAATTCAAACGGCTATCCAAGGTGACAGTTATCGAGGGAGGATATTTTTTTCTCCGCCGACTGTCAGTTATTTTCAAATATTGATTACCCTATTTGACGAATATATGGGAAATAATAGGGATAACCTTTGCAACAGAAATCTAAATAAGCTCTAATCAATAGCCTTCGTAGCATGACCAGCAGATGTGTTTCTAACGAATCCATTTAACAATCCTAATAGCTGCCTCCCCTCCACACTGAAGATGATCAGAAAGGTTAGGCAACAAGAAACTCTGGAAACGTATCAAAACCAAGAGCCTAACAAATATGCAGAAGAGAAAGTAGATAAATTTAGACATACTCTGAGGATACGGTTGAGCGACAACATCCGCCAGACAGACTCTCCAGTAGAACCCAAATGGAGAACGACAACTTGAACGTGCGTCCCAGGGTACCATAGAGGAGAATATGTGTGGAGGAAATAAAAGTGTATGCGCAGTTGTCAAGTCAGCTACAAAAGACAAGAGAGAGAACAAAGAATGAAGCAGTCAGTGTAAGACGTTCTTTGCAGCGAAATTACATATATGACGTTCACCAGCTGCAAGTTGTTCTCCACCTCTGTAAAAAAAGATAAGCTCCCGCGTCTGGCCGCCTCCTTGTGCATCTATCAGTTCAACTGCTCATCTTGTGAAGAAAGGTACGTTGGCCTTAGCCAGAGAACACCGATTTCCACACGGATACGAGAACATATTTCAGCAGTATGGTTTTACAAGGGAAAAAGGAAGTGTGCGAGAAGCTCTATTCTGGAGCACCTGATCGACTTCTGTCACTCTGTCAACCCTGATCATGATTTTAAGATCATTTACAGAATCCATGCTAACTAGCCGGCCGCGTCTTCTTCGGTACAGACTTCTGAAGACAACGGAGGCCTTGGCAATTCATTACTTTAAGCTAGACCTTTTTGTACAAAAGAAGTATGTACAATCCCTACTTCTGCCTTGGTCGTATAGGGATAGACATTTATTTATTCATTTTGTTTATTTAGTTATTCTATGTACCTTTCCCTTGTTACTACGATTATTATTATTATCATTATTATTATTAATATTCTCACTCTGAATCGTTTCCACTTGTCATTCTAAACCCAAAATTAATTTTTTATTTTTACAATATTGAATTCTACCTTATCAAATTTCACACCATGTTATGTAACATTTTATATTCGTTTACTAATCTTATAATTATGTACCCCTTTCCAAAATTTATACAACCATCTTATGTATTATTTTATATATGACATTAATTATTTTGCCACTTGACATTTAACTATGATTATAATCACAAATATTTTAATTGCATTTCATATTACTACTACTATTATTATTTCATGTATTCACACCTATGACCCAATTCCCTCATCGGATATAATTTCTTTAAAAAGAACCATATATATACGATTGTACAGGTTGATAATAAATTCGTTAAAAAGAGTCTTTTCGCTGAATATTGTGTTCTTAAGAACAGAATGAAGCGAAGATGTGCTTCTCTGAAGTTCTTCTGATACACAGGTTACTCATTAGTAACTTAGTTTGTCAATAAATAGATGAAGAATTCAGCTGGTTTGAATAGAGATTGAAGAAGGGGTGCATCGCTGATGAAATCGCGCCTTAAACAAGTGAAACAGAAATCCGATGTGTTTTTTGATCACTTCTTTCCAGCTAACAAACACTACTGATTGAAATGAGTGGCAGTCAACTACTCATATCGATTAGTCAGTAGTATATACCATCAAGTGTCTATGTTTGCTTACTTGATCGTGATTGTTGCCATTTCAAGCACGTAACATATAATGATCTGAATATTTTTGATCTTCAAATTAAACTGAAGTGAAAATTCATCTCGAACTGTTTTATACTTGCAAATTACTAATTTAGAATTTAATTGGTAGATGGTAACTACCACTGGAATCCAGGATGCGTATTTCGTCCTATTTTGGACTCATCAGCCAGTGGATGCACCTGCATTTCCCAGTGAGTGATGATGTTCCCACCGAGGCTCGGACCCAGTGGGGACATCATCACTCACTGGGAAATGCAGGTGCATCCACTGGCTGATGAGTCCAAAATAGGACGAAATACGTACCCTGGATACCAGTGGTAGTTACCATCTACCAATTAAATTCTAATTAAATGCCCAGACATCGTCGAAGCATCTGCACAAGAAGCCGATATGTCAACCTGAGACCGAGCACTTCGGTCCAATCAATCGACGAGAAAATCTAAAATCCAATTAAATTACTAATTTAGTTTGGGAATTTTAAATTTGATTGGAGAATTAGAGAGCAGAGAATATTTCGTTTTAAAGAGTGATAGAAGACGGCTTATTCTTTTTATTATTGTTCCTTTGGATTCCGAGTGGAAAATAGGGTTTCAACAACACATCTGCAATTTCTTCTATTTTCTGCTGTCCTATTCAGCTGGCTGACCCTACGATTGACCATGATTCTCTCATCTCCTCCATGTCGCCCTCGCACCAACGACCCACTCATCGCTTCTCATCCAGATTCCACTCGAGCACTGGCCTGCACAGCGCACGATGTCATTCGATGGCCTCCTCAACGCATACCCGATTAATCCACCTCCCTCTTCTCCCATATATCTACTTGTTGAGCGATCGACTGTTGGTTTCTTCCACTGCAGAGTTTCTTATTGCTAATTCATTCCGACTAACTGGCCATCTGATCATCAGTATGAAACCAGCCAGTGAAGGTGGCAGCTGTCGATCTGCAGTGGCCTGTTGGAAATCCCTTTCGTGATGGGGGCGCAGTGCAAGTTTCTGACCCGTATTGAAGAGGTGACTGACTGACAGACTTCACATTTGTGTCGAACAGAATCCGAATCATGTTGTTGATGCTGTGTGCAGAAGACTTACAGACTGATTTCAGCTTGATGAAGGCGTCTCTTCCCTTTCCGATTCTGGCTGGCCAGTTTTGACATCTCTATCCATTCCGACTGCCAGTGGTCGAAACCATGCTTCCTGGTGAGATAAGTGAAGGCAGGAAGTGACCTCTGTCAAATCTCCCCCGTTAATGGTGATTGCTGCTGGTTGTTGTTCTTGGTTGGTTATCTTCCTCATCTCCATCTAGTCTATATTCACCTGGAGTCCTGTTTTCGATGCCAGCCTCTTCAGCTAGTATGTTGGTCTTCGCATAATAATAACAATAAAAGTATTTAGCGAGGAAATTGATGGTTATTTAGTCGTAGCACTAAACTAAGACTTCTCTTTGTAATTAAATGACACAGCTAAATGAAACTGTACAATGTAGCTAGAATTTTCGAACACTAATCCTTCAGGTAAGCTTACCAGATTGGCACTGTGGAATCTCTGATATCATCACGTGTCTAAATAAAGGGTATTTTTATAAGGTAAAGTAGCTACGAGGAATCAGTTTAATCAAGATACCAAGTGGGCAGTCATGACTAGTGCGGTACATCAGGTCGGATATGAGGACAAATACACGCCAGGGATGACATTGACTAATAATTACACCATATAATGAATTGGACAAAGTTGGAATTCATGAGGATGCCACTGGACCGGATCCCAGTGGCTTAATCCTCTACGAGCTCGCCGTGTAATCGGAATGTCCTGGATTCAGTGCCCTATGGTGGATGCGCGAAGCTGAAGAGTCCCAAAGTAGGGCGAAACAGCCGTCCTGTAATCCCTGCTAGATTTCCAATGGTCCTCTTTAACCTATGTCAGTTCACGATGAAATCCTGCAACCAATCAAGTCGAATCCAAGCAAACCAACACTTGATTAACCAAGATACATTATCACAGAATTTCTCTACAAAAATCAAGCCGAAATACACGTTTAATAGGAGAGATATCATTAGTTTTAGACATGTAAACTGCGCTTATGTCAATGTACATTCCAACACATTTGAGAATTTCTTTCAATACTCTTCAGATTAGTATTTTAGGCAGCTGAATAACTAAAGGTTTAAGAATTATTCCCTCTATGGTCATTATCAAATAATCATTCTTTTTTTGACTTTTTATAGGTTGAAATTGTGAAAAAGAAACGTTGGTAAGAAAGCATCGCACACAACCTCCATATCTCCAATTAATCATCTTTAATCACTGCAATGAATTGCTCTAGATTGCATGCTCCTTTTTGCCTTCATTCCAGGTTTTTGATGCGATTGTGTTCTCTGAGCTGGATGGTTTATAGTTGCTAAGCCTTCATCGTCCCCTACTAGGCAACATCTTCAGCGCATACCTCAATTTGAAGTGAGCTTTTTGATTTCTCCATGATTTCATAAGTCATCTCTAATGGTGGTAACTTTGAACGTGATTGGCTGTAATTTCTCACCCTCTGGTCTATTTCAATTGGTATCGATTGTTTCCTTGACCTGAAGTTTAACGTTTTGTTCATGTGATTTCATTCTTATGGGTTGGTAAATCTTGTTTATTTCAGTCTGTCTATTAACTGCCGGTTCACTTGAATACCAAGCTTCTAGAAATTCTCTGATGTTTTTGGTATCTCCTATGTCCAAGATTTGAACACTATCCCTATCGAATTGGTGTCCCTGGCTATCTGTATACGGACAGTCACAATCAAAGTTACTAGGAGAGATGACTCATAAACTTGTGGAGAATGTTAAAAGCTCACTTCAAATTAAAGTATGCGCCAAGGATGTTACCTAGTAAGCCAGTAAAACTTCGCAACTAAATCATCCAGCTCAGACAGCACAACTACGTCAAAATCATCCACCTGAGTTACACATCTCTATTTTTCTCCAGGTTTTATATACAGATTTACAACCTTCGGGGAAAACAAAGCAAAATAATACGTAAAAATTTGTGCTTATAACTTACAGCACACTAAACGATATAAATGGCTTTTACATAGTATACTAAATAAACAAAAAAATTTGAGGAAAAGACAATCAAACAAAAGGTTATCCCTATTCAGACTGCTCATAATTCTCCCTTCTAATATCCAGTGCTCATCTCTAGACATCAGCACTGTCATGTTACTGTTTCTAAATTAGTTTGAAGAATTGACGAGTCCCTAAAAGTATTTGAGACAGGTTATTCTAGAAATTCATCAACACAGGCTCACGATAGTGAAGGTCAGAAAGCCGCCTAGAAAAAGTAACCGGCAAGGAACTCCCATAGGAAGCAAACCAGCCAACAGCCTAGGATTGATCTAAAAAAATATTCAGAAGGAATCAGAGGTGGATAAGATACACCCTGTGGAGACTCCTGAGCAATATCACATTCTTTGCTACTGATTAGCACCTGAAAAGGAAGTGAAGAGTCGGACATCGTTCTAAGAGTGGTACAAAATAGATCATGTGATGAGGGAATAAAAGATCACGGAAAATCATTACGCCAGTTAAAAGTGATAGCATAGAAGACAATGTGTGACATAGATATGCTTCTGAAGCCCAACTTAATAATATTAATAATAATTTACTTTATTCAAAAAACAGTACTTGTGATGCAGAATGGAATCTTCAGCATTAATCACAATATTGCATGTAATTTCCTCAAATTATAAATAAAATTAATCACACAGAAAATTTTCCACATTTACAATATGGGTAATGTCAAAAAACATGCAGCATATAAAATGGAAATAATAATAATAATGATAGCAGCTAAGGTAATGATAATAATACAAGTGGAAATTGCCGTGGGCTTGTTACCAACTCGAAACCCAAGGGAATAATAATTTATAATAATACGTGGATAGAAAAATGTAGAATATATTAAACTCCTCATTAGATCAATTTTGGTCATACCCTAAGTTATTTATTTTTATTTTATTTATTTTGATTACAGCTTGATGCCACACCGTATTTTCAGTACAAGTATGGCATTTTCAGGATGGATATCGGTAGTCCAAATTTTGCAGGCGGACCATAGATATCGGGTGTGCGTTGGTAGGGGTTCGAACCCCGGACCATGTGCATGGACGGCGAGAGTCCTAACCGCTGTGCCAGAATTATTTTCTGTCAACGGTCAAATTAATAAAATTACTCAGTGTAATAAACATTATTTGTGATGAGAATTGTGATCTAAAAAGCCTACTTCAAATCTTCAATAACGCGAAACCAAACATCAATCTCACCCTGGAAGTTGAGTCTGACTCAATGTTTCGTTTCCTCGACATTCAACTACGAAGGAATGCAGACAACTCGCTAAGAAGATCCATCTACAAAAAGCCTACATGGAACGGACAGTTTATTAACTTTCAAAGCTGTATGCCTCTAAGAGAAACCTAATATGCTCTCTTTCTTCGAGGATCCAGAAGATTTGCACTGAAGAGTCAATCGACGAAGAATTACAAAACGTCTGAGGGAAGTTGATTGAAAATGGATTCCCACCTAGATTCATAGACAAGAATCTAAAACCAAGGAAAATACCTGAAAATGTCCAAGTTGCCCTTCAAAAAGAGGCTGATATTGAACTTCGAATTTAAAAGTAATACCGAAGTAGAAATTCTCCATAGACGGCTTTCGAAGTCTCTCAGTAAAACATACTTCGCCGCCAGCCTACGAATAACATTCTCCTGAAAGAAACTACTCACCCAACACGTGAAAGACAGGCTGTCGGATTGGGCCACTTCACTTGCTCGTGTGGAGCTGAGTACATTGAGCGTTCCATGCGTCCACTTGTAAAACGCGCGCGGGAACACTATCCAGCATGGTTAGCAAAGGGAGAACGCAGAGGAGTATACAGTTAGATAACAGAACATCTGGTGAATTCTGGACATTCAACCCCATTTGAAAAGTCCTTCAAAGCCATATACAAGATCCGATCCAACAATACCAAAGGGAGTGAAATCAAGACATCTAGGAATAGCTGAGGCACTGACGATCCAAAAACTCAATCCTATTCTGTTTGTTCAGAAGAAATAAGTCCAACCGTTGCCCCTATCATGGCCATCATGAAAAGTCAGTCTCACCAATAATGATTATCCTACTACCTTTCTTGTCCAACTTTCCCGTTTATTTCTGTTATATTTACCCTTTTTAAATCCCTATCTACATTATTAGATTTGATTACTGTTTTTAGCTTTATATATCCGAACCTCCTACCCATCTCGTTAATACTACATTCTTAACCCGTAATTGTACAAACTGACGAGTTTTCCTGTACTTATAATCCTATTTTGTCTTTTCTACCCCATCTTCCTGATTATTACACACTGGAATATTATTAATCTGACCTCTGACGAGAAATAATTATGGAACTTATATACATTTATTCCCCTTAATGAATTTGAACAAAGCAAGAAGTACAGTTTTACCAGAATAAAATGGTACCATATTCTATTTCGTCGCCTTCTCGTCAGCTGCTTACAGGGCAAAAACATTATTAAACATATCTACAAAAATGATTTTAACACACCTGCACAGAGTTCATTTTAAACAAAAATCAATCAATATATGCATACAGTAATAATATATACATATATATGTAATATTAAACACTATTCCGAACAATAGTAATCATACAAAATGGAAACTTTTCAGCATTACGTATTCAGATGAAAGAGAGATGAAAATATCTAGTTACAGGGCAGGAGGGCAAAGGAAGACTGATAAGTGTTTCTTTCTGAACGTATAAATCGGATTTCAGGCCCTTGACGGAGATGGCTTCAGCAAACTTTAGGAGATTTGGGCTCTTTGGCTTATTGATAATTTTGAACGACTTTTTGACGTCCACCTCATGACCCGTGTCAAGGAGATGGCTGGCGATGGCACTGTTTAAAGCATTTGTTCCCTTGAGATTTGACCTTTTCGGTACATGTTCAGAAAACCATGGATATGCCCTTCTTTCTGTCCTTCCAATGTAACTGCTCCCGCTAGAGTTAACATGAGAGGGGTATCTATCGATTTTTGATCGCACCAAAGAGCAAGTTGTTCGATAGTCTAGCTGCAGGATAGGCTCGGCCTAGTGATGTACTCATTCTTCTGTTGACCATTGCTGCAATGTCTTCACCTCCTCAAGTTTGCTGAAGCCATTTCCATCAAGCGCCTGAAATCCGATTTGTACATTCATAAGGAAACAGTTATCAGTCTTTCTTTACCCTCCTGCCTGGTAACTGGATATTTTCATCTCTCTTTCATCTGAATACGTAATGCTGAAAAGTTTCCATTTTGTATGATTACTATTGTTCGGAATAGTGTTTAATATTACATATATATATATATATATATATATATATATATATATAATTACTGTATGCATATGTTGATTGATTGATTTTTGTTTAAAAATGAACTCTCTGTGCAAGTATGGTAAAATTGTTTCTGTAGATATACACTTAATAATGACTTTGGCCTGTAAGCAGCTGATGAGAAGGCAACGAAATAAGCGATGATAGTACCATTTTATTCTGCGAAAACTGTAGTTCTCGCTTTATTCAAATTCTAGAACTTTCTCACACACACATTTAAATTAAAACCACGAGTATACAGCCTAGTTGATGACTTCTTCGAAAAGAAAATTTTCTTCCCTGTAACCATTTTTTCTAATATACATATATGAGAATAAGCAAGCACCAATTTACATCAATTATGCGTACAACTTACCGGCATTATCACGAAGCAGCATTACAGTATTACTATTTGTTGAACTTGCCATTGTACTTGTTGAATTATTCGACAAGGAGGATGCTGACGATATCAATGGTGAAGTTGGTGATGAAATCGGTAGAGGTTTTGGTGTATCTAATTTTGAATAAGTGAACTGAAGACTTTTACTCAAATTCGTGGGATTTGTATGAGTACTGTCCTCTGTTAATTGATTTCTGAATTTGTTGTCTATATCATTATTAGATAGTGGGATTATGTCATCATCAGGGGCAATATTATTATGATCATCATCATTATTATTATTGTTACTATTATTATTATTACTGTTCAATAAATCGATTTTTGATTGATTTTCTGATATGTGTAATACTGGAGATAATTGTAAATCTAGTGAATGCTCTGCAGACAAGGAGGATAGTAAAGATTGTTCAGCGATAATCACTGAATCATGGTAACCACTGTCACAATAGTTCCCATCGGTGTAACTACTGGGACTCTGTTGACATTGGCTAGGCATATCGTCATCTTCATTGCCAGTATTATTATTGTTATTATTATTATTGTTATTCGTGGTAGGATTGTTGGCGTCATTGTTAGTAGTATGGTTATTAGTAGTATTGTCATTGAATAACGTAAATAATCCGATGTCATTATTCACGGCTGTATTAGTCAGAACAATAGAAGAATTATTTGATTTTACTAATAAATCTATTCAGAAAAATAGTGAAAGAGAAAAAACAGAAATTGGAGAATATTAGCAGTAAATTAAACCAAAAACACATCAAAGGTACACACAAGTTCTTCATCAGTAATAATAATAATATTAATAACAAAACCAATAATAACAATCAATTATGCACTATATATGGAGAGAGAAATTTGATATATTTGTGCGTTCAAGTTTTTGTAGCAATTTGGTTAGGTTTTGGGGGTGGAGTTGCTAGCACCACGCCCCAACCCTCCTTCTTTATCCGGGCTTGGGACCGGCTAGAATACTAGTGACCTAGTAATCTAGGCGAAGCGTTTGGAGTAAGCACAGGAGTCAGACAAGGGTGCTTATTATCACCAATGTTATTCCTAATTGTGGTGGATTATGCATCAGACAGTAGGAAACGAGAAGACTGGGATATCCTGGACCACCAACGTGAAGAACCTAGAAGACTTGAATTTCCCGCGTGGATGATTTATGTTTGATGTCACACAAGATCGAAGACTAACAAGCGAAAACCGACAAACTGGTCGAAGAAGCAGTCGGTGAAGACAGGACTCCAGGTGAACAAAGACAACACGGAGGTTATGAAAATTACCAACCAACTACAACAACAGCAGCAACATCCAGCGCCAATCACCATCAACGGGAGGGATTTGATGAAAGAGGTTACTTCATTCACTTATCTAGGGAGCATCGTCTCAACTACAGGCAGATGGCATGGACGAGGATGTCAAATCGAGAATCGGGAAGGCGAGAAACACATTCATCAACCTTAAACCAATCCGGAAATCTTCCGCTGTCACTCAGCCTGCATCAACAACAAAATTCGGATTTTCAATACAAACGTCAAATCAGTCAGTTCTTCTTTACGGATCAGAAAATTGGCGGGTCACAAAGAATATTTCCAACAGCCTGTTGCAGACCTTTATCAACAACAGCTGTCTTCGCTCTATACTGAAGATCAGATGGCCGGAAACAATCACCAACAAGAAACTATGGGAACAAACGAAACAAGAACCAATCGCTCAACAAATATGCAGGAGAAAGTGGAGATGAGTTGGACACTCGCTGAGGAGGCCGCTGGGTGACATCGCGCGTCAGGCCATAGCTCGAGTGGAACTCGAAAGGGAAGCGACGAGTGGGATGTCCAAGGGTGACATGGAGGAGATCGTGTGAAGAGGAGTTAAAACAGTATGGACTAACATGGATGCAAGTGAAAAATACAGCAGAAGACAGAAGCAAGTGGAGGCGTGCAGTTGAAGCCCTATGTTCCACTAAGAACCCAAAGGAACAATAATAATATTAATATAGAGAGAGTGATTCTGAGGCTAATCCACTGCCAAAGAATGTTGCTTATTGATTGTACAGCTTGTGAATAACTATTAATTTAGATTCATCAGATAGAATGGTCAACATTTTACTGATATAATATCCTCACGGTTCATGAATCTAAATTCACCAAACCGGCCAACGAGAAAAACATGACGGAGCAGATTGAACAAAAACAAAAACAGACATCCTCCGTAAATTAAAGAACGAATCATTCATTACCAACGAAATGTTTGAATCTCTGAGACCATCTGGTTCAAATATAGTAAAGGCTCTACGGACTTCCTAAAGTACACAAGATGGGCATTCCACTTCGACCGATCCTCGAAATGACTAATTCACCATACCACCGCACTGTCCAACCAATCAGAAAACAAGTCTCCCGTCACTCAGTGCGAGATTCATTTGAATTCGTCAACTGCATCGAAAACGTCGATGTTTCAAATCGAACGATGATCTTGCTAGATGCCGTTTCATTGTTTACAAATAGTTCCACTAACTGAAATAACTACTTATATTACACTTATTATTAATAACTACTATTTCTGGATCGATGGGAAAAATCTGAAAGAACCAACCTCTTTTACCTACCTGGGAAGCATCATTTCAACTACAGGCCGTCGGAACTGACGAGGATATCAAAGCAAGAATCGGAAAAGCAAGACAAGCTTTCACTAATCTCAAGTCTGTGTGGAGGTCAACAGCGCTACTCAGCATCAAAATTAAGATCCGGATTTTCAACTCCAATGTGCAGTCAGTGCTACTATACAGATCAGAGACTTGGCGCGTCATAAAGAGCATCTCAAACAAACTACAGACCTTCATTAACAGTTGTCTCCGCTCATTACTACTCAAGATCAGATGGCCGGTCAGAAAAGATCAGCAACAGAGATATCTGGGAGCGAACCAATCCAGCAGGAACCGATTGTGAAACAAATAAGCAGGAAGAAATGGAGATGGATTGGCTGGCCATACTCTGAGGAAACCACCAAGTGACATCACTAGACAAGCCATTGCTCGAGTGGAACCCGAAAGGGAAGCGGCAAGTTGGTCGTCAGTGCAAGGGTGACTTGGAGGAGGTCATGTGAAGAGGAGATGAAAACGTGTGGGCAAACTTGGAGCCAGGTGAAGACTCTAGCAGAGAACAGAACGCAATGGAGACGCACGGCTGAAGCCCTATGTTCCTGTAGGAATTAAAGGATACAATAATAATATAATAATTTCTGGATCGATATTGATGATCAGATGGTCGGCCGATCAATCAGGAGGGACTCTGGTAGGAAGTGAATCGACCAACAACCTATCATTTTTTCTTATTCCTTTACATTAACAGCGGTGAAACATAGGCCGCTTTCAAGCTAGAGGATTGAAGTTTCAGTAGCAGTGGTGTTTATTTTTACGGGATGGGGTTACTAACCAACCTCATGCTCAACCTTCCCTCTTTACCAGTCTTATTACTGACCTAGTGGGGTGTAGGAGTGCATCGGTGGCCAGGGGTCGAACCCCAGTCCACATACATAGTTGGCGAGCATTCAACCGATGTGTTACCGATGCACACATAAACCTGTGGCTGGTTTAATAAATATGCAGAAGGAGATGTTGAGCGACACCAGATGTCAGAAAGACACTCAAGTGGGCAACGACAAGTTGGGTGTTGATCTGAAATTGATATGGAGGAGATCAAAGCGAATGAGCAATCGTTAGGTCAACCTGTGACTGACTGGTTTTTCAACGTAGAACTGTGCACAGATGTGCGGTAGTTCGAGTTGCTACACTTCCTCCATTTACCAAACAAAGCAAGAGAAAACAGTAGAGAGCGATTCCATAGGGATAGATAATAAACAGAAGTATGAGGCAAAAAGAATACTAATATGGAATAAAAATAGAATTTTATTGGATATGAGAAATCATAAAGAGTGAATGCATCTGCACTATCACTGAGAACGATTTTGAGCCATGTCACCCGTAACTGTCTCCAGCCGTCACTGGTTCTTACCATCCCGAAGACACCAACCAGCCAGCCAGCCACATAGTCTACACCTTTCTACGTGGCTGGCTGCCTTATTTATGCTAACTGTTGTGGATTTCATTGAATGGTCTGAACACCACTAGATCTTTTCCAATCTGATACGATGTCAGTCAGTTTACATTTTGTGTCGGGGAAAGCAATGGATTCGTATGCGTAACACATGCCTTACCCGTTTCAATCTCTTCACCTTCAAAACCTCATCAACTTATTTTCCCTCCTCGTTACCTAAAACGCGACATCCAACCTTAATATTGCTTACCCCATTATACCACCTGACATGGCAGTTAGAACTCGGACACCTATGATCAAAGACCACTAGCTGGCCTTTTCGTATCTTCCACTTTCAATGGCCATATCTCAGAGATATACAGGAGGACAGAGCCAACTGCTGAGCATCACACATTTCCTTTGGTCGACAGCTAGTTGCATATCATGTCCACTAGGCGAGAGGTGGCATAAGTTGTTGGTAAATGCCAACTGTATCCATGCTGAGATTTCGTTAGCAATCAACCGGCTGGGCTGACTGATGCAACCTCCCAAATAAGTGAAGTGGTCAACAAGCCTCAGCAACCACTTCACTCCTGGCTATCTTTGAGCTAGAAGTGATTTGATGTAGTCCAGTCCTGTAGCATCATCTTACATTTGACGGGAGCGAATCGCATATCAAACATTAGCAGATTACTACTCAAGGTGTTCAGAAGACTCTGGATTTTGTCAGTGTGCGCCTGCCCATATACTTTCATTTCCCCTTGACACGATCTCCTCCATGTCATCCTCAGACCTGCGTCCAACTTGTCACTTCTCATTCGAGTTCATTTCGAATGTCTCGGCATTTGATTTCACTCAGTGGTCTATTCAGAGCATATCGAATCTATCTACACCTCCTTCTATATAACCTGTTAAACAATAGATTGTTGTTTAGTGTGCTGCATGCCAGAGGTTCTTATTGCCTATATTTTTCTGGCTGGCTATCTGATCTTTGGTATCAGGCGAGGTGAAGGCTAACTTTGACATTCTCATCTTTGCCCCTTGTAGTTGAAACGATGCTGTCTACATAGATGAAATAGTCGACTTTCTTTGGATTCTCCCCCGATTGAAGTCGTGTGTCGGCTGCCGTTTTTGCCAACTTGTTGGTTTTCACCTTTAGATCTCAGAGTTTGTGTGCAACACAATTATTTTATGATGACGTCTGATGACACCTGGACCTCGAATTCACCGATGATATATGTCTGATTTCCCACAAACTGGAAGATATATAAGTGAAAAGTAACAAGTCGGCGATAGAAGAAGCATCAAAGATAGGACTTCAGGTGAACACAGAGAAAACAGAGGTGGTGAAAGTTCCTGGCCAACAGCAACAACAACAACAGACAACAATCAGTATAAATGAGAGAAATTTGAAAAAAGCAACCTACTTCACCTACCCACCTACCTGGGAAGCATCCTTTCAACTACTGGCGGACGGAACTGAAGAGGATATCAAGGCAAGGATCAGGAAAGCAAGACAAGCTTTCATTACTCTCAGGTCTGTGTGGAGGTCAACAGCACTCAGCATGAAAATGAAAATAAGATCCGGATTTTCAACTCCAATGTGAAGTCAGTGCCACTTTATGGATCAGAGACTTCGGTAGGCGTCGTGAAGAGCACCTCAAGCACACTAAAGATCTTCATTAACAGCTGTCTTCGCTCAATACCATTCAAGACCAGATGGCCGGACAGAAAACATCAGCAACAGGGAGGGATCCCTGGGAGTGAACCAACCAGGAACCGATTGTGCAACAAATAAGTAGGAACAAATGGAGGTGGATTGGCCATACCCTGAGGAAACCATCAAGTGACATCACTAAACAGGCCATCGCTCGAGTTGAACTCGAACGGGAAGCAGGGAGTTGGTCGTCCAGGCGTGACTTGGAGGAGGTCATGCGAAGAGGAGATGAAAACATGTGTGCAAACGTGAAGCCAGGTGAAAACTTTGTCAGAGAACCGAGCGCAATGGAGACGTGCGGCTGTAGCCCTATGTTCCTCTAGGAACTAAAGGAAACAATAATAATAATAACCTGATGACACACTAAACAGTTAACTGCCAAGGCTAAAGTAGACCAGGTGGGATTCGAACACCAGAGACCTATTGCCTTAAACGTTCAGTGTCCTTCAGTACAGACTAACAAATACACAAAATCAATAAAGAATGTCTCAATGGAAAGCAAATTTCACCCAATTTATTTAACTTACCTAACTTTGGTGGATTATTCACAAGTGAATTTTTCGCATTACTTATAATAGGTGATTCTTGGAAAGAATATTTCTTAGCTGCATGTCTTCTTGGTATAATACTTGAAGAAGTTAAACCAAGTGAACGCGAAGAATGAACATACTGGAATGGAATGTGTTGTGGTGACGGTGGGACAGATGAAATACACCTGTTCCCTGGAGTTGACTTCATTGTACCAACAAGAGCAGCAGCAGCAGCGGTAGAAGTCTTCATTGACAAATCAGCGATATCAATCACTGTAACTGATGAATTATTCACTGGGCTATTGATTAACGACGAAGACGTCTTCTGTTGTTGTTGGTGTTGTGAATGAGACAATCGCCTTTCACTCCGTGTCGATGGAGGCGGTGGTATCGTAGTAGTCAGCATGGTATTTTCTGGTGTAGTACTGTGTAAAATAAACTGATTAACCCAACCAGCAACCGGGGGACCAGGTGGTGGGAATTTAAACCGAGCATTACTCATATTACTAGCATTGCTACTAGCATTACTCAAATTCATAAAATCAGGTGAAAGTGTCTTTGAATTTCTATTCGATGAGGAATATGCACTGAGTGTGGAAGAGACACGACTATTGCCAAGGCCTAAATCTTCACCGAACGATGGATCAAACTCTTCATGAATAATACTTGTTCTTGTATATGGGAATTGGAATTTGTCTGTATCATGGAAAGTATACTGATTATTGTTACTGTTATTATTGTTATTATTGTTATTTGATTGGCTGGAAGGTATCAGACCATGGAATATAGCTGCTTGTAAACTGTACAGAAAGTAATCATTATCCAATGATTCCATTGTATTGAAATCCTGAATAGAAAGAAGCGAATAGAAGCACAAACAGTAAAGAAACATTAACAGAATTGTACGGTAAAATAAAAGGAAATACCTCTGAATTATGATAAAGAAAGGAAGACCAAAATTCGCAGTATAAAATGATATCATCATTCTATAAGAAGGAAGCAGTCAGTCAGTGGAATTCGCCTCGATCGCTGCTGACTAACTACACCCCGATCGCCTTCTCACCCAATCACACACATTCAATCAGTCATTCGTGCATTCAATTCCCGATTCACTCACGGTCGAGGCGATCACTTATTTACTACACACACACACACACAACACTGAGACACGCATTGCATTCGCTTCCTGGTCGACTCACTCACTCACTCACTCATTCACTCATTCACTCACTCACTCACTCACTCACTAACCAACTGACTTCACGCTCACATTCTCCACGTACACCAAGCCTCGACTAATCTGCTCTCATCGCCTGCCTCGTCACTGTGTATCTCGTCCAGTGTCTCTGCGTCTCACTGCCCATCTTTGTCTATGTCTACTGGTGGCTTATGTGTCTGTCGTTAATCCCACAGGTGGAGAGTTTCACGAGTACCCAGTCGACTGATGTGTCTGTCGATGAGATTGACTTTGTCTTCTTCTGGGCTGGTCGTCGTATTGCCTTCTTCACCTGTCCACCAGTAATCAGTCAGTTTGCTGGCGATTCCATCGGAACCGCTGACGTGTTTCCGGTAAGAGAATGAATGATTTATCCGTGTAGTCCTTCGCCTAATTTGCATGTCATGTGTATGCGACAGTCTGTTGTCTAACTGCATCCATTTGGTGTCCCTTAGCGAGTCATCAGGTGTCCTCTGCATCTTGGTGATAGTGACCAGTGTGTCAGTGTATTTCAGAGGATGAGGTGTGCATGTTTCACAGGTTCTCGTCGGCTGCTGCAGACTACTTGAAATTACAATGGTTACATATATAGATGATAATAACATACTTTAATGTTTACTACGATTTGTCGAAGCCATCGCATTCAAACGATTCAAACCAACCAGAGTTATGCATACAGAAAGAGTGTGATTAACCTTTCACTACCTTGGTAACTGAATTTTTATTTCGATTACATTAATTAGTCGTCTAATTCAGTGATCTTTGCTATTTTTTAACTCATGGAAAATTCCCATTGTAACATATAGAAAATCAAAACAAGTGGTGATTCAGCGAAGAGTCTCTATTCAACAAATTTATCATCAAGCTGTACAATCGTATAATAAAGTCATCTACAAGGCAAAGAGTAATTTACCGAAATCACTACGTACCCGACTCATCTGTGTATTGCTGAAGCTTTGGCTATCGAAACAGGAAAGCCAGAGCTCTCTGTGTACAGAAAAATTTCGTTCAACCCCCACCCCAAACTTTCATGGTCTTAATCCCTCTATGCTAAAGTATGGTAATCCCCAATCATATTTTCGCCGTACCAATTTTTTTCGTTTTGTCTATTCAATTTGTATACTCTTCCTTTATGACGTCAATTGTTACTATTACTACTCTCACTTTGAACTGTCCCCGGTATTATTTCACTTGTTCCACTTATCATTCTAAATCAATTCTTTTTTTTTACAACGTTAAATTCTATGTTATCAAATTTCACAAAATGTTACGTAACGTTTTTATTTTATTCGATTTGTCTACTAATCCTATAACTGATGACGGAAACTTAAACTAAAAATTGTAACCCTGCTTACATTTTGAATGCGTCAGTTCTATAGTATTTCTTCTCTACTATCACTTAAACATTAGAGTATGTTATTATCATCTATGTATATATAGCCATTGTAATTTCAGGTAGTTTGCAGTTAGCTGATGAGAACCTGTGAAATAGAATGATGACGATATCATTTTATACTGCAAATCTTCTCTTTCTTTGTTAATCGAAATTTATCAAGGGAAGTTTTTGAAAAGACATCTTTAAATTAGTTGAAACAATAATTGTATACAATCGGTTCACTTTATAAGTTTGGGTTGCTTAAAAAAGACTATGTCATACTTTGTAGAACTCTGAAGATTGTCAGTAGGGCAAGTGGTGGTATCCTATTGGGCCATATATCGTTGACATCTTCATTGATAGGCACTTAATTTCATGCCGTAAGTCAGCTAAAGGGCGTCGTCGAATTTCCGAAAATCACCCTGCCACGTTGGTTAAGTAAAGGACAAACAAAATCTATTCGCATAACGCTATTCTATCTCATCTTGTGGATACAGAACACAAGATTGATGTTAACCATGCTTTCAGGGTCATTTATCGCATACCAATAAATCTCAATTTCGCCTTAAGAGTTCGGCTGACCGTTACGATCCACATTAAGAAGCCTAATTTGTGCGTCCAAAAGAAGTTAGTTCACACATTGTCCTTGTCCCACTGGCCATCTAGGTTTGAACGATCCTGAATTTTTGTGGAATTTTCCTAATTTTAGTCGATATTCTATTTGCTACTATATCTTTATTATTATTATAATTGAGGTATCTTTAAGGAACTGTAATTCCATTGTCATCTTACTTTACAAATCGATATTATTTAAAAAAAAACACCAATATTGATATTGACTACTATTCTGGAATATTCTATGTATATAAACAAATGTATATAATTGTAGAGCCAGAAGAGTAAATTATCGAAAAGTTTACTCTTTGCTCAAAGATTTTGTGTTTTAACAGATGTCTGAATGAATGTTTTCGATATTAAGGGATTTGTCAGACTGTGAGCACCCACCTCAGTACCCGCAGCTTTCACTTCAAAAGACTTTACGCGCGTACATCTAAGTATTAAACTTTCACGATACCATATTTGGCATGTATTTTATGTGATGCAAATTATGTCAGGCACGGACTAACTAACTAACTAACTAACTAACCTACTTAGCACTAGTAAATAAACAATTTCCTCCACCCTCATAACATTAAGCTTTACTTCAAGCTAGAGGCTTGAAGTTTCAGTATCAACGGTGTTTACTTTTACGCGATGGGGTTGCTAGCCAGCCTCATGCCCAACCTTCTCCCTTTACATGTCTTATTTCCGGCTTAGCAAGATAAAGGAGTACATCGTCCGGGGCTCGAAACCCAAGCCACATGGTGCATGGTTGGCTAGCATTCTACATCCACGCCACCGACACACACATACATCCTTTAAGCTCTGAATTAATTGTTAATTTTTTTTGGTTTTCCTTTCACCATGCTAAAATTTCCATACTGTATTGACAATACTGTTTGAAACAAACCTACTATTATTATCATTGCTATGGTTTTTATTCTCATTTTGTACTTTGCACATTTTTCACTTTATTCCTACTGTAAAAATGGATGAATTCCTGTAGTTACTTTTAGTTACATTTTGAGTAAATTAGATGCAATATTGTGAGAAATACTGAGAATTCAATGCTGTATTATAAGTACTGTCTATTTTGGAATAAAGCAGGTTATTATTATTAACACTGGAACGAACATATCTGCAGTTGCAGGATAATACGAGCTCGTTTCACTTCGTCGGTTCTCTTCATCCGCTTACATCCTAAACAAAATCAATTATAAGTTACAAAATGGTGTCTGGACAAACGTTTTTCGCAGTGACTTCGAGTTATAGATAAAAGTATAGGAGATATAATTCCAAAGATGATATAAGTAGTCGAATTATTCAGTGTTAAAAGGGTCACTATTTATATAATAATTAGACAAGGGGAGCAGGGGTAGGGTTCAAATTTCTCTTGGAAACAAGGATGGACTAGACACAAATTACAAGATGGAAAAACAAAGTGAATTTTTACCCATTCTGCTGGAAAGTTCAGGAGAGTGAGGGTGAATGGCGAAGTGAAGTTATAGAATAGATAAAATAATTCAATTTAGTAAATTTGGAACCGTAATAGTGAATACAACTCAGCGAGTGGAAATCAAAATCGAGATTGAGTGGAATGTTATGCAACAGAACAAAACACAAAAGCACATGCACAACACAATTATAGTTACGAGGGTAGTGAGAGATTAGTCACACTATCTTTCTGTATACAGAGATTGGGTCGAAGTCTTTTGATGACAGTAACTTCTGCACACCGAAGTGACCATGGTTTTTTTCCGTGTATTGATTATTTTAAAGGCCTGACTAATTTCCACTGTACATCCCGTGTCAGTCAATTAGGTGTCTGGCGATTGCAGTTGAGATCACATTGTTGCTGTGGAAGCGGAGAGTTTAAGGGATCTGCTCGGAGAATCTAGTAGATGGTGTCCTATCAGTCCTTCCTATGTACTTGCTGCCGCAAGTGCAGGTGAATTAGTGAATGCAGTTTGACAAGTTAACATGAGCGGCATACTCACCTACTTTTGACTGGGTTAACGAGCATATGGCGTTGTAATGAGGAGTGAGTCTAGCGGCAGGAAATGTTCTTCTCAATGCACCTTTAATTTTGTTTTCAGTTCTCATAGACACTTCTTCGCCTTTGTACGTTTGACAGATAAAAACTGGTTTCTTTTCAAATAATTCAGGTTTCGGTCTAGATGCGTTTTCTCCCCCATATTTTGATGTGAACTTTCGAGAGAATTCATTTTTAATAAGGTTTTTTCGACAACTGTCAGTTCCTCTTCAAACTTATTATCTGAACATAACTCCCTAGCTCTGCTGAAGAGCGCTTATACCAGGCTCCATTTGTAGCCAACCGGGCAGAAAATGTGATGATTCAAGTACTAGCCAGTCCAAGTTTCTTTCCTGTAAATGGATTTTTCAATTGTCCCATCAATTCTTCTTTTTATACGGAAATCTGGGAAATGGAACTGATTTTTACGTTCATGATCCATTGTAGATTCTATGTGAGGGTGAGCCGCACTGAATTTTTCAAACATCGTGGATCCATAATATTGCAAACCGCAAACGTGGTCTCAACACACCTGTGGTAATAGGTGGTCCTCTCTATTTCTAGCTTCATTCGAGTCTGTTCAGGATGAGCAGTATACGCTGGGATACCCAAATAGCGGTTAGTTACTTTGACGAACTAAATATACATAGAATCAACTTCTCTACTTGTAAATTACACGGTGCATAGTGAAAACTAACACTGTTTTCTCCCTAGAAACCTAAAGTGTGTGGATCAGAATGTGTGATCTAATCAATTCTATGGTATGTGGCATGATTCTTTTTTTATTACAGCTTGATGCCACACAGTATTTCTTGGTACAGGTATGGAATTTTCAGCATGTGATATCGGTAGCCCAAATTTTGCAGGCCGACCATAGATATCAGGTGTGCGTCGGCAGGGGATCGAACCCCGAACCATGTGCATGTTTGGCGAGAGTCCTAACCACTGTGCCACTTGAATTAGCAGTAAACTTCACTGGAAGGAGGTGAGAGTAACCATGTAATATATCACCACTTCAGTTGATTTTCAACTTAATTTTACATTGACTTTGCATTCAAAAAGTACGTGTTTTGGCGTTAATCAGTGACTCGTTTTTTTCCTCAGCTCTTATTCAGACTACATATCAACTTTCCTAATGTGACCACAAGTCCGAATAAACCAATTCGACTGGCCATCGATTCTATCTAACATTACAAAAGTTTCATTATTTGGTGTCACAATTTTTATAGGGCAGAATTTAGCATAGTCACTGAACATGTACACTATGATGTGAGATCGGAACTAACGAACGATTATTATCTGATTGTCTGGATTCTACTGTACAATTTCCGTGGCTTTGTCTAACCGATTTTACTTTAAAATTCATCCCTCCGCTTAACAACATCAGTAAATGATTTAGATCAATTTTGGCCTTCCTGAAGTTCAGTTCGTTTTATTCTCTCCCACACGGTTATTGGTTCATCTTCTATGAAATAAGCGCACGCACGCTCACGACTCCATCGCCAGGGATCGAATCCAGTATCTCCAGGTTATGAGACTAATCTCGATGACTATTAATCCAACTGATCAACTGGCCATTGTCATCGGAGAGTGTTCGTCCTCATACTTGACCTGGTGGATCACATTTTAGTCGCGATTTCTCCCTAGACCTCCAGGCAGCGTCATCCTGCATTCAGCAATTAGTGAGCACCAGATAAATTCTCGCTCTAAATGTCACGAGCTGACAGACAGGTGGCTGAATGGTCGGCAAGCTCGCCCCGTAACTTCAAGGTCCTGGCTTCGACGCTTAGTGAGAACATTGATGACTACTAGTATAGATTCTCAAACTAGGGCTAGAGAACTCTCCAGAACTATCTGATGGTCCTCAATCGTCGTCTGAGTGATACCAATCTGTGATCATTTGCTTCCGGTGAATACATACTACTTCTATCTACTTACAACTTCCATCAGTAGTATGCTATACATCATTGAAAAAAACTAATCGATTAATCAAGAAGCAGTACAGTATTACTTACCAAATTATCTGACTGCATATTAGCATTATAATAGCCTTCATATTCATTGCCGTAAATTTCCGCCACTGATAATGGATTCGATTGACCATCGCTGGAGTGTTTCCCTTTCCCATGATGACTATTTCTACTTGTTACTGTTGCTGTTGTTGATGTTGTTTTAGAACTACTGAGAACTTTATCTTTCACTTTTATTGACTTTTGTGTTAAATGTGAAAAGCGTCGTTTATTCTTCAAGCCAAAGGCGCTTATCTGTGAGATGAATGCGATTGATTTGAGTCTGGAACGTGAAGTGAACGCGGCAGCTGCAGCAGCAGCAGCGGTGGCGGCGTTAGCGGCCCCAGCTGACGATGAAGAAACAGAATTACCTGTAGAAGCTGTAGAAAATGATGGTGTTGCTCCCAATGGATCAATATGGAATGAATGATTGATGTGTGTTTCGTCTATGTCAGGCTGTTCTTGGTGATGATGGTAATAGGCAGAATAGTTGAAGGATGGTAATCCATCCGAATTGAAATGATGCGTATTATAGTAATGATGATCTGTCCAACCTAGAAAATGGAAAGGAAGTCCATATGAGCACAGCTGAAACTTATGTTATTACGAGAAATACAACAATTTTAACGTTATTTATTTAGAAACTGTCTTGCGAAACAACCTTTTATGGATAATGTGGCTGACTGTGGGGAAGTGAGAGGTCAGGAAAACTCTGGACCAATAAGAAGTCTGTAGAAGATCTGGATTTTGCAGACAATCTATGTGTAACATCACACAAACTTGAAGCCTTAGAGGTGAAAACCGACAAGTTAGAGAAAGAAGCAGCAAAGATATGTTTGTCTTCAAGTGAACATGCAGAGAAGATGGAGGTGATGGAAGTAACCAACTAACACAACATTAGGAAACACCAGTCTCTATCAACGAAAGAAATTTGATAAAGTTCACTTCCTTCACTTATCTAGGAAGCATCTTTTCAACTGTAGGCAACCGGCACGAATAAGGATGTGAAAACCAGACTCACAAAGGCATGATAAGCCTTAATTAATCTGTAATTTGTCTGGAAATATGATACACTCTGCAGCATATAAACGAAATCCGACTTTTCAACACCATTGTTAAATCGATAACTCCTAAATGTAAAATGGTCGGGTAAAATAGCATTTCCAACAGCCTATTGCAGACTTCTATCAACAGATGCCTCCTCTGCTAGCTGGCTGCATACTGAAGGTCGAATGGCCAGCCGACCAGCCAGAAAGGATTAGCAACAAGAAACTCTGCAGTGAAACAAACCAACAGGCGAGAGCCGATTTTTCAACAAGCGGATATGTAGGAAAAAATGGAGATAGATTGATCGCTCGAGTAGAGTCAGAATAGGAAGAGACGAGTGGTTAGTTGGTGCGAGGGTTACATGGAGGAGATCGCGTCTTGTCGGAGGAGGAGATGACACATTATGAGCAATCGTGAAGCCAGCCAGATGAAGAGAACAGCAGAGAATAAGAGAAATTGGATATGTGTAGTGGAATCCTTACGTTTAACTTGGAACCCAAAGGAACAGTAATAATCTGATATGATTGAAGGCAGCTGGCAGGACGCATCCCACGTCAGCAAGGTGTATATGTAGCTCTAAAAGAAACTGATGTCGTTTCTTCGATTTTAACCTCTGGCATTCAGCAGTGTATTCAGAGACCTTACCACTGTCTTATTTCAGTACACTCATATTTACTGTTAGACCACTTTTGTATTTTATCTTACCGATGTACTCCTGCACACATGAAAACGCACTTTCGCTTTGCATTCAACTTCACTAAAGATTCCCTCACAAACTAACGTCAGTTAGCGAAATCTCTGAAAACCACGGAATACGAGACAGACGCTTAAGGCTAGCTTGGAATTCTTCAGGGCAGCATATCCACAAACAAACTCATCAGAAATCAAACACTTTGACTACTCAGCCACTTGAGCTAGACGAAATTCAATGACACCTGAATTATTAACTTTGTCAATTTGTGATGATATAACGCTACCTTCAACTGGTGTCTTCAATGAGCATTCCCTTCACTAGCCACGGCTCCTCACAACAACATCAGAATATCCAATCAGTAGCTATAAATAAGCTGGAGATTGATACTATTTAGAATATGGGTTTTGTAGGTGTATGGATTAATTTCAATGTTCTAGTTAACTAGACTACTGAATAGATACTACTTAATTGTATAAAGCAACACTGTATTCACCACACGGGATATATTGCGCCACATTATTATGAATCTGTCTGTCTATCTGGTTTCAACATGCACAAATGTGTAGCAGTCCGAGTCGCCACACTTCACTCACCACACAAAGCCAGGGAACAGGAAGACAGTAAAAAGGAATGCAAAATGGAGACAGTTCACGGAGATATGTGGCAAAAAGAATAGTAATATCGAAGAAAAATATAGTTTTATTGGGTATTGTAAGTCACAAGGAGTGGATACATCTGCGCCATCCATTGAGAACAGCCATATCACCAATCGTCTCCAGCAATTGGTTCTTGCCGTCACGAGGACCTCAACCAGCCAGCCAGTCAGTCTACACCTCACTACGTGACTGGTATAAACTAACTGTTGTGGATTTCATTGACTGATGAAACCATGTTTTGGTTTGACCACCACTGGCTCTTTTCCTACCTGACCCTATATTAACTAACATTTGCCGTTGTCGAGGATGGTGATGGCTAGGCATGCGTAACACATGTCCTAACCATCTCAGTCGATGTAACTTCACAGTTTCGTCTTTTGATTTCCCCTCCTTACCTAGCACTCGACCGATGCCTAACCTCAATACTGCTCACCCTACTATACTACTGCACACGGGAGATAGAACGCAGGCACCTATGATCAAAGACAGCTAGCCTGATTTTTCATGTCTTCCACTCTCAATGGCTATGTCTCACAGTTGGCTATAAAGGAGGGAGGAGCGGACTGCTGAGCAGTACACATGCCCTTTGGTCGATAGCCAGCCGGATATCCCACACTATTATGAATAGAATAGTGTTGAAGAAGATTGGTAAAAAAGAGACACAACAAAACAACAGTGTATATGAATACTGTTCAGTTGAACAAAAATAATAGTAACATAGTGGGAATGGAAAGTATTGAAGACCGGAACTACTACATATACAGCATGTACTATTCTAGTGCCCACTCACTAATCAATATATGTATATTGTGTTTTAATTATAATTGAGAATCTAATTGAAAAGTAAATATTTCTTCGCTCAATCTTTCTGTTTTCCACATGTCTATATGGGGATTTTTTCTCTATTAATTATAATTGCAAGTGGGCGGTTAATTACAAATACCTCTACTACCATACAGGCAATAATTCCTTAATTCTTTTCACATTTCAGAATAAAAATCGGTGGTATACTGACACACTCATTAGAAAAACACGCCCAACCATTACTACTGCTACTACTATGAGTACTCTTCATACAAAGAGATTAAGATGCATGATAAAAGGTGTTAAACACAAGTAAAATTACAAATGAACTGTGGCATAGACTGTTGAATAACGTTCATTCAAAAAGAAATAGTTAATCGATTGGCGGAAATCATGAAACAATAATCAAAATTTGAAAAGCCAAAATGATTTTCAGGAAACCTTCATTTGCAGCTAATTTTTAGGTTCCATCACGAGCTGATATTAGTAACAGGATCATTGGAAAACCAGTAACTACGGGACAGTCAACTGTTTCGTCCTAGTTTGGGACTCCTCATCAATACGCACCAACCACAGGGGTTCGAACCATGGGACTTGGTCTAATATTCTATGAATTCAAACTTCTTCAAATGCAACTGGCGAAGTCTACCAAATCTGCTGAGAGGACAGTTACTTGCCCATGACATCGGCTGATGGTTGCGCAGAAGTTGAAATTCATGGGTCACTAGACTATATTCTAGTGGTTTCGTACTGTTGAGGAATCACTCAGTTCCCCCCATGCTGTTGGTTCCAATGATTTTCTAACTGATGTTAAACCTGTAACCATTGAAATCCCTATCAACCGACACTTGAAAAATAAATTTACAATCGGGAAAGCTACTCGGCAAACGAAGAAACAAGCATAATCGAAAGACAGTTTTAGAAAAAGAGTGGGGACCAAGACCAGGAACCTTAATTGCTCAAAGAGTACTTTATCATTCACAATTAGGCTGTGCGTAACACGATAATAGAAAAAGATTAAAATTTGTAATGAAGTTTTACCAAAGTTTCTTTCCAAAACCAAGTATAAATTGCATAAAACTATGTATACTACTGATTGATTGAGTTGAGTAGTTGTATAAACTACTTACATCAACCACCAGTATAGTGCTGGCTAGCCAAGTAGAAGTGATCCAAACAGCAGAATGTAGCGGTGTAACCAGTGTGACTCAACTCAAACAGCCGAGTACGTTCAAATCACTACGCCCCAAACGAGTGATCTGATGCAGACTTAAAGAATACTGATGCAAGCAATGCGAACGTACAAATGACCTTGAGGCGACCAGTCAGAAAGACTAGTGCCCTTTGCATAAAAATGCCGTTTATTTACTAGAAAAATACAGATACTAATAAGGAACACCACAAGATATTTACTAAAAAATGTACATAAACTGGATTCGAACCCTTCCGGTGGGTGCGTATTGCTGATAGCTTTCAAACTAGGACTAAACAGCTGTCCAGTACTCGCTGGCGGTTTTCAGTGGTTCTCTAACTGATATCAACGCGTGGTCTAACCTCACACAAACAGAATCCCTACAAAGTAATTATTAAAAATTATTCTGATGCTTTCTAGTAGCCAACCACAGGACGAAGTCGCCTGGAGTTCTAGTAAGAAGTCGTGACCAGTGGATGGAGTCCCCGCCGTTGACACTGGTTGGTGTTCGCACTAAAATCAAGAATTGGTAGAAGTTAGAATTCATGCGGTGGCTATTGAGGAGTCGGGTGCCAGTGGCTGAGTGCTATACGAGCCAGCTTGCCTCGTAACCGGAAGGTCGTGGGTTGGAACCCTAGTGGTGGGTGAGTACTGTCGATGATTCCCAGACTAGAGTGAAACAGCTGTCCAGTACTTCCTGTGGTTGGTTTTCAATAGTTCTCTAACTGATATCAATCCGTAGTCTAACATCAAACAAATAGTATCCGTTCAAACTAATTCTTAGAAATAAAATACCCTAGTCCTAATCCAAAGCGTAACCTTGATCCTAACCATAACTCTAACCCAAATCCCAACTTTAATCCTAAACCTAACCCTAGTAGTTACCCCAACGAGCTATCAACCCACTATCCAAATACCACGTAACAGTGACATCGAGATGAAATTTGCACCTCAGTTCGATTACAGTGTTCATTAATTATTATTTATTTTATCCGTTTATGTCCTCAATGGAACAAAAGGCAACTTCAAGCTAGAGGCTTGAAGTTTCAGTAGCAGTGGTGTTTAATTTTACAGGATAAGGTTTCTATCTCATGTCAAACCTTCCCTCTTTACCAGTTTTAATTCTGACTTACCGAGGTAAAGGGGTGTGTCGGCCGGGGG